TGCTATAGGGCGCGTGCGCTCACCAGATAGACAGAGAGAGACATAGAGACAGAAAGAGAGAAATCACCCCCCAGAGGGGATGGTCACGCCACAATCCCTTCTTCTCCATTCTCCTCTCGGGATCTTGGGCACGCACGCACACGTGCCCGGCATGAGTTTTAAGCCACCGGGTCCAGGACGCGAACCGTGGCCGACTACGTGGGAGTCCAGCGACATAGCCATTACACTAACTGCTGGTTCCCAAGCCCAAAATCTTGACGAGAAATGGAGGAGCTGGGATTGCAGCATAGTCATCCCCATGGGCTTTCACACTTTCTCACTTGCTTTCTCTCTTTCTGTCTTTCTCTGGTGAGCTCATGTGTCCTCCAGCAAATTTAATTAAAAAAATAAAACTTCTTATATAGAGGAATCCCTTAGGCCTTTACTTAGTAAGAACATCTTCTTATTTTAGAAATAATTCTGGCATGTTCAGTATATTAGGACCATCACAAAAGAAAATACGTGGAATATTATCAACTTTTGCAAAGACTGCTTTGGGAAGGTTGCCATTAAAAGTGTAAGTGGCAGTAAATATCTGTATAGAGAAGGGAAGAGAGATACATCCAAAATGCAAACCTACATCACAATAGCGTGACATTTCATGTAGTGATAAACACATTTTTTTAGGGTAATCTACCCACATTTATTGAGAACCTAGTCCCTGCCCTTGTACATTTACTATCTTACCTATCTCAGGAATTTTTTGGGCGTTCTGACAGTCACATCACCAAAACTATTGTCAAGACAATGTAGGCTTTTCATTGCATCCCTTTTTCTTTCTGAAAACCATACAGAGATCGAGTCTACATCACTTTTTTTGCGATAGCACCCCATAAACATTATCTTTCATCATTCTTCCCCAAAGGTGGGCTGGGGAGCAAGCTAGTTTAACTCTTTTTATACTGAGGATAAACACATAGATCCTTTTTTTTTTTTTTGTAGAGATTTTTGCTAAAGGGCGTGTGCACTCGCCAGACAGACAGAGACAGAGAGACAGAAAGCAAGAATTCACACCCCAGGGTGGATGGCTACGCTGCAATCCCTTCTCCATTTTCCTCTTGGCATCTTGGGCATGCACGCACATGTGCCTGGCGTGAGTTTTAAGCCACCGGGTCCAGGACTCGAACTGTGGTCGACTACGTGGGAGTCCAGCAACATAGCCATTACGCTAACTGCTGGTCCCAACACATAGATCCTTTTCGACTTAAGAGTTTTATTGCTAAAGATTATGAGAAAAGAGAAGGGATAACAAAAATAACAAACAGGGGGAAAAGTACATGGGGTACTTTCCCTAAGTGCTGACTACTTTGTAGATAGGTACTCACCATAGAACCATAG